AGAGTGCGAGAGAAAGCGGGAGAGAGGGAGAGCGAGAGCGAGGCAGACAGAGAGAAGGGAGGGAGAAAAAGATGGAGGAAACCGCCTTCTCCGTCCCGCTCTCGCGTATTCTTCTTCCTCGCTCACTCTTTCTCTCTCTCTCTCTCTCTTTCTCTCTCGCACTCTTCCCCTCCCTGTTTCTCCCTGTTGTTTCTCAGCATTCAACCGGCGAGTACATGCACACAAGCGTATTCGCTGGAAAGCGCTATGTCTGGTGATAGAGTGTGCGTGCGTGTACTTACGTGCGAGCATGCGAGCCGTACGTGCGGCTACACGCATACGAGAATCGGAGTGGCTAACGCTATCCTCTATGGTAGTAGAGCATACTGGCCGCGTACGTACACAAAGCGATGCCGTCGTATCGTTCGGGCAGGAACGATACTGTAGAGGAAATGCGAGGTCGCTACAGTGTTCGGGTTCGAACTCGGAGTTCTCCCTCTTGCGATGCCGAGATGCGGGCTATCCAGGCAACAGCGACGTCGCGTGCTCGATGTGTACGCGATTTCGCGACGTACGACCAGCTTCCCTGGCATTCGAGTAAGCTCCACCGACGTGGGATTTACTTTCACCTTACCACCGACCGTGCACCAGCCTCCGAAACTACGCTATGGCCTGGCCTGGCCGGGCTCGTGCGGAAAAAAAAAACGACACCGACTTTGAGACCACGGACAGGAACGAAGACGACGACAGCGACAGCGACAACGCAATCACGACAACGACAACGACAACGATGACGACGATGAAGGTGACGACGATGACGATGACGATGACGACGACGACGACGACGACGATGACGACCGACAACGTTGACGGCAGCGAGGACGACAACGACGACAACGACGACAACGACGACGGCGACGACGACAACGGCGAGTACACGGTTAGTCGGGAATACTACGAGTCCGTACGACGGCGCCGCGGAATACGGCGCGGCGTTTTACGAAACTAAACCGCGGAAATGAACGACATCGGGCGTAAAACGATCGTAACAACGGACACGGAACACCGAGCGGTACGGCGTCTCACGCCAAACTAAACCGAAACCCCGAGTGGGATATGCCCTTTCCCCTCTTTCCCCTCCCTACGCCGGTCCCTCGATCCCTTCGCCGCGCGCCCCTTTTGCGCTCCACGTTCACCCCCTCCATAGTCTTTCTCTCCTGTCCTCCAGGCTCTACACACGCTCCTCGCTACGCCTGCCGTTTCGTTTTACTCCGCTCTCTTCTCTTCTCTTCGCTTCTCTTCTCCCCCTTCCCGTTCCCGTGCCTTCTCTCTCTCCCTCGCTTTGACTCTTTCATGCCCCTTCGAACACCGTGTCTCTGCTCGGCTCTTCGCCTGACTACTAGCCTGCCTAGCCTGCCTGGCCTGCCTGCCAGCAGCAGCAGCAGCAGCAGCAGCAGCAGCAGCAGCAGCACCAGCAACAGCAGCAGCTTGGCTTGCCCGACTTGTCTGCCTTGCCTCTGCCTTGCCTGCCTGTCTGCCTGCCTTGCCTGCCTGCCTGCCTGCCTGCCTCATCGTCGTCGTCGTCGCTGCCTGTACGAGTCGTTTTTCTCTCCACTCTCCTCTATGCGCGCTTCTGGCCACCCCTCCTCTCTCTACCGAGTGGTACGTACCGACACTAGCGCGTTACTCCGAGCACACCGACGAGCCGACTACACTCCCCCTTCACCCCATCGAGGATCGCACCGCGTTACCAGCCGGGTTACGAGCTCCCCTCTATTCGTGCGCCGATACCTCACCCTTCTTTCGCTACCCCTCTCTTCGTGCACCACGTTTCTTCCTCTCTTTCTTTCCGTGCATCTCCGATTATATTCTCTTTCGTCTCTCCGCGGACGCTGAAACGACCCCCTAGCTCGAGTCCCGGTCCTTTGCCTCCTTCTTTCATCCTTCCACTACCTCGTAACCTCCAATTACACCACGTCAGCAACGGAAATCGGTACTTCGGACTAAGGCCAGATGGATTTCCGCGTGTGTTTGAATAAATGCGCGATAAACCCGTTTACGTTGGAAAACCAGTGTCGGCTGGCGTCCTCTCGCCGCACGACCAACCAATGGGCCACCAATCGCCGGATAAAACCAGCTAGATTACGAGGAAACCGACGGACTTTTATTGCGGATGTTAATTTCACGTATGCCCCCAGTCCCGATACCTTGGTTTTTCAGTTTCGAGTACCCGGAATTCCTTTTGCTTTCGATACCGAGCCGGATTTTATTGAGCGACGTCCATTTCCGATCCGATAGAGGCTCATGGTATCGTCTATAAGTCCGCAAACGAAACAGCGAAAGGGAGAAGCAATCGAAACCGCTTATCCGGCCATCTTTTTCGACAGGGGTACGTAATTTTGCAAAGGAGCGATCGACTGGCGCCCTATGAGTTGGCCAAAACTTTTGACCTGCTCCGGTATCGGTCTTCGAATCAAAAAATTCGTACATCAACGTGTAAATCGTCAAAGATACGAGGAGGATCGTCTTAGTCTCGATCGTCTAGAGACCGACGACGTCGCTTGATTCTGTAACAAAGGTCCGCAATGTGTTCGAGTAATTAGCAGCGCGATATAGTCCCGTGGTGCTTTGAAGTCGACGAGTCGAAGAGACAATAGATCTATGTAAGTCTACATGAGCAGATGACAGCAAAGAAACCGGTTTATAATTCAGTGACAGCTATAGCCATCGACAGTCAAATACGCGTGTCTATTGTTCCGCGTTTCTCCGAGTTGGTAAAAGTTCGTCCATCGAATATATCGTGGTTTATCGATACCATTTGCTCGGTATCGCTTTCGCTTATCGTTCCACTCGTGAGACCGACTCGAGTCTTTGTTGCGACGCGTCGACGTTTCCTGTACTCTAAACTCCGCCATTTTGGTCCCTACCGAAAACAAGCGTAGGCATGTCGGGACGTCTACCTAATCTAGATATATAGTCTATCTAATCTAGCGACGTTGCGCAACGTTTAATCGTTCGTACATCCGTTTCGCTTCTCATCGGTCACAAATGCCCCTGACTGTCGCTACCTAGCGTTCAGACTCTTCGGTGCGACCTTCCCTAACGAGTAATCACATATTATCCGAGTTTACACCTGCGAACTCGTTATCGCGCGTTCTTCGAGTTCGATTCGAACATCGTGCACTAGGACTGGTCAGTCACCGAACACGAGACGCAAAGTTCGGCTGGCAGAGAAAGTTGCAGGATTGTTCCTTCGTCTGCCCGATCTAGCCGTTCGTCGCATCTTTGCTCCGAGTGATTGGTTTTTTCGCTACGAACAGAAGCAGAAAAGTCGGCGGAGGATAAGAACAAGCGACTAGACATAAATTATCACGGGTGTATGCAAATGCATCGGTACACGAGTCGCATTCGCATCTGCGTATCTAAGTGTCCGAATGCGAGTCTTCGTGTGCAAGTACAGCGTACAGATCTCCGTGACGTGCACCCGCTCGCTATTTGCACGTACGGCGCGCTTGCGCCGTCGAATAATCTTTCAATCCGCCAACGCTTTCGTCTCACCGGGGATACGTAGACCTCGTCATTCGTTAAATTATCCTCAGAAATTTAGCAAAATCGACGTTGCAAATGCCGACTGGGAGGTACCCCGTTTGCGGCAAGAAGTCGCCGACGATGTCGGAACAGGGGTACGGTTTGGAACGATGTACGGATGGATTAACGACAGTTAGCAAACGAGATGGATAAGTTCCCGATAAAGGATTCGGGCTGACTAATTGACGTTGCACGGCGCGTTACGGAAGATTCGAGAATTCGGCCGGTTAAACCGAGGAGAACCAAAATGGCGGTAATACATTGTAGACCAGTGCTGGTCGACGAGTTGATCTCGTAAATCTCACGAGCCAAAGGAACGAACGTTCTAAGAGATCGAAACGTATGTACGTGCACGACACGTTGTGACGATACCAACGGTGTCTTTGTTGCGCATCGAATGCACCGTGACAATATGCATAATTAATCTCTCTCTGCCGCACAATGAACGGACTCGCAACCATGCGTCCTGCGGTTACGTTGCGTCGATGAAATCCTAGCTACGGACGAAGAAGAAATAGGATGAAGGGGTACATTGGCGTTTTTAAATTCGCAGGGAGTCGGGGTACGAAATGTTTGAGAGGCGACTCGAGTCTGGCCGATATGTCGCCGAAAAATCGACGATGATCCTCGGATGACGAGGAAATATTAATTACGGGCGTTTTTAATTACACCAGTCAGCTATGAGGCAACTAACAGCATACTCCCACCACGGCAATCGACCTTCCAATCCTGACACTCCCTGGGTGTACTTTAAGAACCGTTCCCCCTTCTACCGCTTCTCGAACAGTTGGAGGATGCCGACAAAAATATTCGCATGGTGCGTGTGCGTTCCCTTCCCCTCCAACCCTCGAGCCTACTGATCTCCCCTCTGGCACACATCGTTCGAAAACAGCGACCGTAGGCTTCCTCCCGAAGCTTTCTCTGGAAGGATCCCTTGGAGGGCTATCCCCACCAGGAGGACTAGGACGGATGGTCGGTCGTTTAGCTGTGGAACGCGGCTGGAATCACGAGCGAATGAGACGCCGCTAGATGGGTTCCGCAGCTATCTCTTCCTTTGGTCCTTTCTCCGCTTCCTCGGCTCGTTCTTTGTCGACCGTTCCGCGAATCGTTCCCTTCTTCGTGTATAGAACCTGTAGGTGATACGTGGGCGGCCCGATCCGAACATTCAGTCGGAGGATATATTGGTATACGTGCAGGATCTCCAGTGAGCCTGCGCCGCGTTATCGGTCGATATACGCTTTTGGGAAACCTTCCACGTGTTTCGTGGAGCAGCGTGAGGCCAATTCTCCTTTGCTCGCCTCTGCTACTCCACCTATTTGCGTGTAGCGATCGAAGACGAGTCATTAAGGTTCTGCCACTCCCTCGTTGAAGCGTATCGTAAAGGAACGGGGACCGGGCACGGTCGAATCGGAAACCGTTGTCTTTTCTACGAAAACCCGATACGTCCGTATTACGCGTGTCATCGGAATTAATTGGATCACAGGTGTACCGAGCGGGTACGAACGTCGTAATCGTAATCTCGATTACGGTTTCCACGCGAACAGCGACGATCCCCGACCGCTTAAAGCGTGTTCGACAAAGGATAAAGAGATTCATTGATCGACGATCGAGTATTAATGCACGATCGTGTTTACGTTGGAGTTGGCGGTAGGTGCCAGCCTGAACGGCGGCATCCTACGATCGCCTACGTGCAATCCTGTCGCAGACGGCCACGCCGTTTCGATAAACGGCCTACAAAGCCGTCGGAGGGGACGGGCCGATGCTTACATTCCCTGGAGCCCCTCCTGACATCGGCTGTACGTGGGTACATTATTCATTCTCTACTACATTCGGCAGCAGGAGGGTGCGGATGAGTGTGTGCGTATCCCTCGTAGTCGATGACACGACATGCACTTGCGCCCCGTTTGCATGTGTACCTTCATATAGATACGCGAGTCTGTTCTCTCTTTTTCGATGCGCCCCTCTTTCTCCGTCCCACCCTTCCCTTTGCTCGCTCGCTCTCTCCCTTTCTACCCTACTACCCGTACAACCGTCCTTCTTTCGCTTCATTCACGTCCCATTCGCCCTCTCTCTCTCGCTCTCCCTCTCCCTCTCCCACTTCTCTCGCCCTTTTTTTCCCTTATCTATCTTCCCCTTCTTTCCACTCTTTCTCTCTCCCTCTTACCCGCCTCCGTCCATCCACCCCTCGACGGATATTTTCGTCTCCGTCTCTTTTTATTCTACCTCTCGTTCCTTCCCGTGCCGGAGCTGAGCGTGTATGCGCGTGGCGTAAACAGAAGCCAGTAAAAGGATCGCTCGGCGGGATGGAGGGCGACAAGGGCAGGCCGCGTCGGAACGGGAGGTTGTGGAGGGATCGAAGAGGTGGCGGCATTAGTGCGTACCGAGCGGGGCAACAGGGTGCGAGAAGAAAAGAGGGAGACCGAAATCGGAAGA